TCTTCTCTCCTGCTTGTGCTCTTTCTCTCTCTCTCTCTCAAATAAATAAGTAAATCTTAAAAATAAAAAGGCACCTGTAGAGCGCAGAGGGTTGTGGCTTGGTGCAAGGAACTCCTGCCTCTACATTATGCATTATGACATTGGCTGAAGTCTGTCAGAGCTGATAGGAGGAGTGAAAAATGGCATCAGCCCTCTCTCTTCACTGGAGAGGGGAGTTCGTACCCACTGCTGTTCAGGAAGCCCTCACAGAAGAGTGAACAATCTTCCTTCTTGTGTCCCAGGCTTCCATCAGATCCCTGCCTTCACTCTGTGTCTGAGCCATCTGTCTGCCTGATGGCATGTGCTCCTGTATTTTATTTAAGGTGCGTGGCTGGGTTTCAAAACCTCTAAATTTTAGGGACCCAGCACCATGCAGACCTGCACTGATCCTTTGGGGGATGTTCTTGCCACACTGTGGCTTGTGCTGGTTTGTCCCAGAAAAGTAGTCACGTGACTGCTCAGGGCTTGGATTTTGTGGTAAAGCACAGCAAAAAAGCCAGTATCCAGGTCAGGTGCCCTCGGAAGGCGATCTCTGCTCATATGCTAATTAATGGGGCAGCTCAATGGTGCCTGCTGGCTATTTTGTCCCCTGGGCAGCAGTGCTGCTTCTCCCAAATGCAGTCCAAGAAGGGGAACTGTCTCTAACAGCATGACCCAGGGGATCCTCCGAGCACACTGCCTGCTTCTGGGTTTCTGCCCTCCTTCTTCACCAGAACACCACTAAGCCTGCCAGGCTTGACGCTGGCAATGGTGCAGACTTCTAAAACTTAAGACTTTCAGCTCCACTGCTTATAAAAACTTGTGATAATCAGCCCTTCTCATTTTCCCTGTCAGTGGTTTTGGGGAAGTGTTTTTTCTTGTGCAGTCCCCTGCATGCTGCTTTCTCTCTCTCTCTCTCTCTCTCTCTCTCTTTCTCTCTCCATGATCAGGGCTCCCTCCCCTCCACAGCACCCATGATTCTTTTCTCCACCAAATGTAACTCCACCTCCTACCCTCCACAACGTGACCTCTCTTCTCCCTCTAGTTGTGCAGTTTGTTCTCTCAGTCCCCAGATCAATTTTCTAGGTGTTCAGAATGATTTGATAATTATTTAACTGTGTGGAGGGATGAGGCAAATATAAGGTCCTCCTACTACTCCAACATCTTAACTCCTCCCTATTATCCTTTTTAAAGATGACTGGATTTTGTTTGATAAAATTATGTTAGAGATTTTTACATTTATGATCATGAACAAGATTAGCTGGTACTTTTCCTTTTCTGGAATACTCTTGTTAAGATTTGGAATAAAATTTATTATCTACATAAAACTAAATGGTAAATGCTCAGCCATTTTTTGCTTTCTGGAAATGTTTTTGTAATATTGATTCTCTTTTATATTTAATTAAATGTTACAGGAGTTTTATCTTTAACCATCTAGAAATGACAGTTTCTTTGTGGGAAAGTTTTGTTTATAGAATCAATGTCCTGCTTACATGATAGTTCATCATAGATAGAAGTTAGGGTAGGGGCGCCTGGGTGGCTCAGTCGTTAGGCGTCTGCCTTCGGCTCGGGTCATGATCCCAGGGTCCTGGGATCGAACCCCGCATCGGGCTCCCCGCTCCGCGGGAGGCCTGCTTCTCCCTCTCCCACTCCCCCTGCTTGTGTTCCTGCTCTCATTGTGTCTCTCTCTGTCAAATAAATAAATAAAATCTTAAAAAAAAAAAAAAGAAGTTAGGGTAAATGGTTTGGCTGAAGAAAGAAAATGTTTCTGAGAAGAGGGGGTTTGGAAGAGGGGTATGTCTGATTTACAGTGGAAAGGCCTTAAGCAAAGGGAAACAAAAATATAACAGGATCTTCTGGAGAAAAGAAAATCAGTTTATATGAAAGAAGGCACAACTCATCACATCTGGGCGTTCCTTAGGCTGTTTCCTCTCGCATGCTTGTACAAATTTGGGAAGGCAAAAGTCAAGGGTCAAAGTGTTGTCTATACTTGTTTTCTCACCTATAGGGAAAAGTAAAGTGGTTTGGGTTATTCTGTGGATATCCTGTGATACAGGATATTTACCACTGAAAGTGATTTATAACAACTTATGCATAGGCCTCTTAACTTATCTCCTCAGAAGTTTTTGGTTTAAATGATTTTATCAAGTGCTTTTTCCTTAGCTTTTTTGCTACTTCCCAATTACTCCATTTGAGGTGAATATCTGCAAAAAGCCTAAAGATTATTGTTGCTGCTTCTTTATCTCTTCCATGACCAGAAGTCTCTTGACCCTTGCTATGGTCCTAAAACTTAATTGAGACATTGCTTTCTATGAGTATGGGTATTAAAAATATTTTGAATGTTTTGTATGAGTTAAAATAAGACAAATGGTTTTACCCAATTGGGGCAAATATTATGTATGATTATTTTGTTCTCCTTGTTTTCAAAAATATACCTTCATCATGATACTCTGTGTACTTATTTTGGAATTTCTTGCCCAATTAGCTTAAAGGAAATATTGGAAGTGTTTCTAATTGAGCTGGCATTCTGGCATTGTTTTTATGCTTCATCAAGTATAACACCTCTGCATTAGTAAAAATACAGGCTTAGTTGCTACGCCAAAACTCCAAGTCTCCAACAAGCTGGTACATTATTTTTCCATTGCCTAATAGTTTGGAGATACTGAGAAGCTATATGCAGACATACTGATAGGCTGTTCTGTTCCACATGGTCACCCAATAACAGGTTACCTCTACTTTATCGGTCCACCTTATTGGACCACTGTCTTATATTACAGTTTTGTAAAGGTGAAAACAGAAAAGGGGTTACCCACGTGATCATTTTAGGGGCAATACTCAAACATTGCATTCCATTGGTAAGAACTAAATCACATAACCAAATGGATTTGTGAGAGGGGGCCTGGGAAATATAATCCTAGGTGGGTGTCATGGACTTAGCTAAAGCTTAAGGAGTTTTATTCCTAAAGACTAGATGGAAAGATTCTTGGAAATATAATTTGGCTTCCAGTATTTTTCCAAATTACATCAAAATAATAATTTATTACTTTAAATATAATGACATACATAATATAAACAAATAAAATAACAAAATACATATTTAAGGTCAGCTGTACATATTCATTGCTACTGTGATTGTAAAGAATAGAGATACTCTGACTCAGTTCTGTTTTGTGGAAAATTTTTTTCTTTTCTTGCTCAGAGTTGTCAAGAATCAGGCTTCATTTCCTCAGTTTTTGCCACTTATATTTTTGCTTTTCTGATGGCAAGCAAATTTTGATTGTGAAACTTTCAAATGCTCCTTTTCTACTTGGTCAAATATGGCTTGCTTTTTTATTTATAGTTGTATATTTTTCATATTCAAGTCTTTGAAATCCTAAACATAACAAAGACAAAATCCATGTCTAATTCATTCCATGGAAATCCTTGATTTTAGATCTATTCCCAGGAAACTTCTGACTTAGACGTAGGAAATCTCATGAATTTCTGGCCCCTATTCATTTTTTTTCCTTTGATGACATTCTTAATATCAGTATAATTCAAACCAGAACCTACTCTATCAACTTCAGCACCCATCATTCTTTCCATTATTCTAACATTTGCCAAATTGCCCTATTATTCATTAATTAGTGCAAGGATATTTCTACCTCTACCTCTCACACTTTTTGTTTCCTCTGTCTCACTTCAGGTCTGTATACAAATACCTTTGCGTTGAAGCTTTCCCTAACTACACTAGCTAAAGTATTTTCTATCCCTTCACTGTTACCTGAACTCTCTATTTCTGTCTTCTGCTCATTTCTAAACATAGTATTTATTATGACCTTAGAGTACATTGCATGTTTGTTTATTAATTTCTTATCTTTTCCCCTAATAGAATGTAAGCTTCAAGAGAATAGTCACTGTGTCTTTTTTCCCCACTATTGAGTAGAACAGTTCATGTTACATAGAAATGCTCAATACATAGTTCTTGAATGAATGAATGAATGAATGGGCTTTGGCTGTTTCTTGACATAAAACATTTCCAAGGATTTAGAAGGAAACTTTCCTAACATGAGTCAGAGCAAACACTATGGTTGAAATAGAATAATAAAAAAAAAACATGATTAAGAACAATGAAACAGTAAATAGATGGAAATATAAAAACAATGGGGTCTTCCTAGAGAGGTATTGTCTCTAAGAGTATATAGTTATTCTACTTAAAAATATCACAGAATCACTTTATCATAATGTTCAGGTAGTGGAAATACTTGGGCCCTGGCATGTGGAAGTTTCTAGATCATATTTCCCCAAAATAAGACTTCTATACATAAAAACAAATTCTAAATAAAATGTGCATATAACTAAAATAATGAAAGAAAGGAAGGGAGGAAGAAAGAATTGTATAAATCAGAATTTACCACTTGTCAAATGGTCTTGTTGAACTAGAATTTTTTTCTCTGAACTGAACTTGCAACTGCACCAGATTCAGAGTCCAAACCCTACATTATAGATGGGTTTATTAACTTCCAGTTCCACTCAGACTGGAGAAATTACTTCTATGCATTATAGCACCCATGACCTTGAAATATAAGAATACCTATTTAGAGTCTTGTTAAAATAAATGGTGACTCTCTTCATTTGCTAGACCCAAATAATTTATTGCTTCTTTTATCAAATAGAGAAAAAACCTTAATACCAAGAGACAATTATAACAAAAAAAAGTCTTTCTTAAGTCCTTTATTTCTACCCCAAATAATTTTGAGTAATAATAAAATACAACCTTTGCTGATTTTCAAATCATTTTGAAAGGTTTTGCTAGGCTTTTTCAAATAGTGACAGTATGTAAAACCCAATTCTTCACAAATAAGGGAAGAATAATTACATGGCAAAAATTCAAAATACTCCTCACACTTAAAATAAGATTCTCAGTTCTCTTGAATACCACCAGAAAATGGAAAAACTGAAAATATCCATAAGTAACTTCCATCTTTTATATGTACGTCTTCCATGTTCCTGGCGTGGTGCTGGAGTCGGAAGGATGTGAAGATGAATAAGACATATCCTCAGAATGCAGCTATAGTTCCCTGTTTGCTGATAGATGCCATCTTTAACTTCTCTAAAATATCAGGTACTTGTCAGTAACCCCTTTTCATGGTTACCCTTTGATGTTATAAAGGTGACTTGATTCTCCCAGGAACTACTCCTTTCAGTAAAGTACTCCTTTTTCTCTACTTGCTTTTGGATGGTCTATAACAGTCTGACCTGCCGTTCTAGAACCTCACCTCTGGGGGAACCACAAAGGTGACTCAGGGCGGGGGTGGAAGGGACTTGAAAACCGGACATTTGGTCTTGCCCTGGGATGAAACAATATCATCATCATGAGTTTGAGCCCCGAAGTGATCCTTGTGATCTTCTTGCTTCTCTTTAAATCCCCCAAGCACAGGAGATTAAAAACAGTGGTTTCAGCTCTTCACGGCCCTCGGTGAAGTTGCTGAGCAGGGTGTTCCTAACCAGGTTGTCGTCACGCTCACCTCCTGAATCATCCGGATGCCATCCTCTGAACAGTCCTCTCCTCTGATAGGAAAACCTCAGATGTGCGTATTAAAAACAAGCCAAGTGCTGAAATGAACCCTTAAAAAAAAAAAAAAAAAGACTTCCTTCAGTGTTCTTACTGTTTTTTGTTTGTTTGTTTAATAACTAAGGTCTCTAAGCTTAGAGACCCCAAGATGACTTTGAAATTGTTGAACTTTCAATATTATACAGAGAACCTCTTTTTTTTTCTTATATAAGTAAACAGTGTACACATTTTGTTGCAGCTGTCATGTATAAACAACATTTGGTTTGGCATCATGAGACTTGCATTCAAATGGCAGTTGTCCATATTACTGCTAGATATGTGACCTTGGTCAAACACATCATTCCTATATCCATGAGCTTCAATTTCCTCTTTCAGAAAACAAGTTAAACTTGCATCAAGTTAATGGGAAATATGAATGTAATAAAGTATTTGAAAGTATACAATACATTTCTGTTTCACCGCAGATACTCAATAATAGTTAGCCAAAATGTATTATTTAGTGGCTTTTTGTCAACACTAAAAAGTTAGTTTACCCTTTGAAATTCCTCATCTTTTTTAATTAAAGATTTCAGAGTAGTAATGAAAGCTCTCTGCAACACATCCATTTTTTATGTCCTCAATGATATTACCCCTAACTTTATTCAAGGTCGATCCAACATATAAACTATTTTAACATATCATAATAAAAACAAGCCCATATTTAAATAAGGAAAGATTTTGTTCAAAAAGACTGTGATAAAGGGAGAGTGCTCTGACTGGAAGATCTGTGTCTCAGAGTGAAAAAAGAGGGGGATTCCTGTTCTTATAAATAGAAGTAAAAGAAGTCTAGAAAGAATTAGGTGTGGAGTTGTGGGGTGAACAGAAGGCATGATCAAAGAACTGAACAGAAAATGTTTTTCTTTGTGGTTAGCTGATTTTTCAGAAGATGCCTTTAATGCGACATAATTCCTCATCAGTGCTTAATTAAACTCAGGGATGGGACAAAGTTCAGGGATCTGGGAAAGGGGAGAAGCCTAACTAAAGTTAGTCAAGTCAAGTTAGCAGCCACTTGGTGAGCATTTGGTCAAGCACAAGAATAACAAAGAAAACATTGGACAATAGTGTGTTTTTTTTTTCCCCATAATACTGAACATCTTAGTTAGGGCAGCTGTGATAGAATACCCTACGCTGGGTGGCTTAAGCAACATTTATTTCTCCCAGTTGTGGAGACTGGAAGTTGAAGATCAGACCTACGGTATGGTTGGAGTCTTGGTGGAGGCCCCCTTTCTGGTTTGCAGATGGCCATCTTCTCCTGCTCTCACATGGTACAGAGGAAGATTATCTCTTGTCTTTTCTTGTAAGGGCTCTAAACGCACGACCTAATTACCTCTCAAGGCCACGCCCTCCTAATATCATCACATTGGAGCATAAAACTTCAATATATGATGTTGAGAGGATGTCAACATGTTATTTGACATACAGTTTTCTTTTGAAATGACTAATATTGTAAAAATATAAGAAGCTATGAACAAATGAAGAGTTTTGAATAACCTAATTTTAAAATACCCAATAATAAATGCAGTCACATTAGATGTTATAATAAAAGTCAAGTTTTTAAAAAGGTGTGGGTATTCAAGAAACTGGTAACATAAATGTGACTTACTTCTGGTAGCTGCCCAAACCCTATTTCAGTCATTTTCTTCTTTTGGTCCAAGCAGGTGCTTGTTGCCAGTATATATGTCAAATCTGGAGGATGTGTTCTCTCAAGAACCCCTGCAGGCTACTTTTCCCTCTGGTCCTGTGAGAGACTGAAGAACGCGGTAGTTCTACAGCACTAGGATCAAAAAGTAGTAAATCCTAGGGAGAAGTAGAGAGGTATCAGGCATTTAGGGGAAGAGCTAAAGTGGCTCCTCTGGATGTATTCATTTTCCCTGACCCTCAAAGGTACACACACACACACACACACACACACATACACATGCATATATAACTAGTTGTTTTATCAGACCTCTGATACTTGCACATCTTGATCATCTATAATTATGCTTAAGAATAGGAAGTATAATAAACAAGAATGTTATGTTTTTATTGTGAAGAATATTGTCTCAAATAAATGCTCCCTGTTTTCATTTGTATTTATGATTATAATTTTTACTACATTTTTTCCTGCTTTAATTATAGGTGTGATTTTTTTATCCTTAAGATATAGCAATTATAATTATATACTAGGATGAAATTATTTCTTTTATTTGAAATAAAGAGGGATATTTTGTGTGTACTTATCTGGTGTGCAACTTGTGAAAACTATAGATCTACCTGGAGCTCTTTAAAAATAGTAATATGCTAATCAAACTAAAATAATTTTATGTTAAAACATTTATCCAAGCTTTTTTTCTTTTTTTTTTTTTTTTTTAAGGTAGACCTTCCCATTTTGAACAGAACTTATCTTTAGGCTGAATCTTTACATAAGAGTTGGCGGTCATAACATATGATGTTGAAACCCTTCTTAACGAAGTCAGCAATAACTGCCACATTGCCAGAGGCAATGGCCTGTTTTCTCTCTTGTCCTTCATCTATGGCATTTAACACTGCTTACTCATTCTTCCTCCTGAAGGTTTTTCTCTTCTGTGGTTCTGTGAAATCCACCCTGTTGGAAATTCCTTCTCAGTATTTATAAGCTCATTTCTATCCTATTCTGCTTACATGGATAACTTCTATAACTCTTGCCTCTGTTCTTCATACTCTCCTTTGAGAAACTTTACCTACTGCATAGCTTCAGGAACTATCATCAAAGTTTCTATTACAGGGAAAGAGCTTGTGTTTAGGAAAATACACTTGATACTCACTTGGGACAAAAGCTGAGTGCATTCTGTAGACACACACACAAGATTGTTAGATTTCTAACTGAGAGAATACACAGGAAACTAGGGGTAGTGGGAAAATGGAAGAAAGAAGAGATTGAGAGGAGAGAGTGGGATATACTAAGGACAACATAGAAGGATGGCTGAAGAACCCTCAAGGACAAAGCTATTTGAATAATGTTCATTTTATTTTCAGTTAACACTCTTCTCTTTCTCCTCTTTACTCAGTTACACTGCTCCACATTCAGAATTAGACTGGCAGTTTTGTTTTATTTTAATTTAGTTTAGTTTACTTTGGTGTATAATACTATAAAGAAAAGAGCTGAGTTCCACATTTTTGTCACTGAAAAAAATAACACTTGCCAGGTGCTGAACAAAGAAATGGAGTCACAGCATTGGAATGAGAGATCACCATGTAAATGTTTTTCCCCTAGATATTCACAGAAACTTGCAGAAAGCACATTAGAGTCACCATGTCCTCTGATACTAAAATAACCTGCTTCTACCATGTGCTTAAAAATGAGCAGCTACAGCAATGAAGGGGCTTACTGTTGGCTCTCATAGACATACTGGGCTTTGAAGGAGAAAACAAGAAGTAGACCCAGTAGTATTGACCTAGTTAAAGAATTGGACCCCATGAGGTGAGCCTTCACTCCAAATTACCATGTTCAAGAAATTGTTAAAAACCTAGTTTTCTGGCAAGCAGTGTGAATAAAGATGCCAGAGCACTTCTTTTGGAGTTATCAGACTTGTGTTTAAGCACTGGTTCGGTCATTTACTGGTGTGTAATTTGTTGTTACTTTCTTAGCTTCTCTGAATTAAAATTTAGCTCATTTTAATTCATAGAGTTATGGGGAATATTAAATTATTTAGCACATGTAAAATGAATTAATGTTCAACTAAGGTAAATTTAATGCCTGGAATGTTTTTGCAGAAGTGAAACAATATTACAGCAACTGTAGACAAGTTTTGCTTACTCTACAGATTAACCTGGAGCCAGTTGTGCCATGAGGCAGTCACTTTTTATTTATGTCTGAAAAGCGTATTGCTAAAGAACTGGAATCAAATTTTATTTTTGTTTAAAGAACCCAGCTTTTGCTGCCGACGGCATAAAGCTGAATCAAGTGGGCAAGTGGGAACGGGTGCAGTTATGCTCGCTGCCTGTGCTTGGTGACAGTAGATTCTGGGAAGAGTGCAACCTTGGATTCAGCAGAAATGCTCTAATGTGTCTCTCCCCCAAGACTTCATGAAATCAACTGTTCATGAAGAAAAATAGAATGGGGAAAACAACTTAATTTATTTTCTTAAAAACCTTTACTTTGTATTACCTTAACCCTGGAACTGATAGGAGATGTTGAAAACAAGTCTGAAATTTGCCTGAATTGTAGTGTTTGATTGTTGCTGGTATAAGAGGAAATATATCTGTAATTCATTTTGTAAAGCCCATTTCCTGTTACTTGCTACAGAGATAGCTGCCCCGTCTAATTGTGTTTGTGTAGTTCCTTAATTTGCATGAAAGAAGATAACATAAATGAAAGACTCAGGAGGAAGACTAATTCAGATTACTAGCCCAGGCAGGCTTATTTGTTATTCATTAAATGCTAATGAACCCAGCACCAATGTTTTATTTGTTTCACTCTATTTGAGATTTGAAAGGTCTTGTAACACAGTTAAATTCTACAATAAACAGATATGTGAAATTTAAGCATTCCTTTCCTCATGGTTCTGTTTGGTAGTTATACAATTATTCCTGGCCTAGGAAAATCAAGTAAAACAGCATGGAAAAGTATGTTTTCTTTCTGTTTGAAAAAAGCAAATTTAATCAAATTAAGCTCTTCGCACGTTCATGTTGTCTTCAATTTCCATAAGATCTAGACATTCTCTATGTCAGTCGGGAGTCAAGCCTATTTTTAAAAATCCACAAATGAAATGGAGTGTGAGTGAAGTGAAATCTATTATATTTATATCTTTTTAAACCATTTAAGCACTATTTGTTAACGGGTTTTTTTCTGACTATATTTTCTATGTCTGCTTTCTATAAAATGAAGCAGATAGAAAGTGATGGCACTTGTAATCAGGGTAGGTTGGCTTATTTTTTGACTTTATATTAGCTGGATTATTCATTGGTGAATTTGGCAGTTATGTAGAATTACTGAATTGACCTACCTTTATATAGCTTCAGTTTACAAGGATTCTTCTATATGCCTTACT